ATCTTTCGGCCACTTAAACCCTGCCTCGTTCAGTACAGTTGTCGCTCAGTTGTGTCTGACTCTTTGAGACCCCATGGACTGCAACACACCAGGCTTCCTTTTCCATCACCGACTCCCGAAGCTTGCTCAAACTCATGTCCATCAAGTTTGTGATGCCATTTAACCATCTCATCCTCTGTCATCCCCTTCTCCTGCCTTCAGTCTTTCCCAGCACCAAAGTCTTTTACAGTGAGTCAGGTAAATTCTGATTCTTTGCATCAGGTAGCCAAAGTATTGGAGTTTCAGCTTCAACATCAGTCTTTCCAATGAATATTCAGGACTGATTTCCTTTGGGATGGACTAATTGGATCTCCTTGCAGTCCAACAGACTCTCAAGAGTCTTGTCTAACACCACAGTTTAAAGGCATCAATTCTTTGGCACTCAGCTTTCTTTATAGTGCAATTCTCACATCCATACATGACTGGAATGGAAAAATCATAGCTTTGACTAGAGGGACATTTGTTGGCAAAGTAATGTCTCTGCTTTTTAATATGCTGTCTAGGTTAGTCATAACTTTCCTTCCAAGGAGGAAGCATCTTTTAATTTCATGGCTGCAGTCACCATCTGTAGTAATTTTGGAGCCCAAGAAAATAAAGTCTCTCACTGTTTCCATGTTTCCCCATCTATTTACCATGAAGTGATAGGACTGGATGCCATGATCTTAGTTTTCTGAATGCTGAGCTTTAAGCCAACTTTTTCACTCTCCTCTTACACTTTCACCATGAGGCTCTTTAGTTCTTCTTCGCTTTCTGCCACAAGGGTGGTGTCATCTGCATCTCTGAGTTTATTGATATTTCTCCTGGCAGTCTTGATTCCAGCTTGTGCTTCATCTAGCCCAGCATTTCTCATGATGTACTCTGCATGTAAGTTAAATAAACGTGGTGACAATATACAACCTTGACGTATTCCTTTCCCAAATTGGAACCAGTCTGTTTTTCCATATCTAGTTCTAACTGTTGCTTCTTGACCTGCATACAGATTTCTCAGGAGGCAGGTAAGGTGGTCTGGTATTCCCGTCTCTCAGAATTTTCCACAGTTTGTTGAGATCCACACAGTCAAAGGCTTTGGGGTAATCAATAAAGCAGAAGTAGATGTTTTTCTGGAACTCTCTTCCTTTTTCAATGATCCAACGGATGTCGGCAATTTGAACTCTGGTTCCTTTGCCTTTTCTAAATCCAGCTTGAACATCCGGAAGTTCTTGGTTCATGTACTGTTGAAGCCTGGATTGGAGAATTTTGAGCATTACTTTGCTAGCGTGTAGGATGAGTGCAATTGTGCGGTAGCCTGAACATTTTTTGGCATTGCCTTTCTTTGGGATTGGAATGAAAACTGACCCTTTCCAATCCTGTGGCCACTGCTGAGTTTTTCAAATTTGCTGGCATATTGAGTGCAGCACTTTCACAGCATCATCTTTTAGGATTTGAAGTAGCTCAGCTGGAATTCCATCACTTCCACTAGCTTTGTTTGTAGTGATGCTTTCTAAGGCCCACTTGACTTCGAATTCCAGGAGGTCTGGCTCTAGGTGATGTCTGCATTATTTCAGCTTAAAATGTATTTTAGTTCATGAATTTGGCTTTTTCCTTAACTATATTGTTTTTTAAAAAATTAATTAGTTATGTTTTTGGTTTGCTGGGTCTTTGTTGCTGCGCATGGACTTTCTCTAGCTGCAGTAAGTGAGGGCTACTTTTTGCTGAGATATGCATGCAGGCTTCTGACCGTGGTGGCTTCTCTTGCTGCACAGCATGGATCCAGAGTTGTGGCTCAGTACTTGTGGCACAGCAGCTTAGTTGCCCTGCAGGATGTGGGATCTGCCTGGACCAGGGATCGAACTTGTGTCCCCTGCATTAGCAGGTGGATTTTTAACCACTGGACCACCAGAGAAGTCCTTTCTTTCATTATTTTAAAATTAAAATTAAAAAAATAAAGTATGATTGATTTACAATGTTGTGTTAGTTTATGGTATACTGCAAAGTGATTCAGTTATACTGTACATATATAAATATATTCTTTTTTAATATTCTTTTCCATTGTGATTTATTATAGGATATCAAGAATATAGTTTCCTGTGCTATATCATATGGCCTTGTTGTTTATTCATACTGTATATAATAGTTTGCATCCCCTAATCCCAAACTCCCAATCCATTCCTCCTCTGCACTGCCTACCCCTTGGCAGCCACAAGTCTGTTCTCTATATCTAAGTCTGATTTTGTTTTTTATATAATTTCATTTGTGTAATATTTTAGAGTCCACATATAAGTGATATCATATGACATTTGTCTTTGTCTGACTTAATTCACTTAGTATGATGATCTCTAGGTCCATCCATGGAGCTGCAAATGGCATTATTTCATTATTTTTTATGGCTGAGTAATATTCCATTATATTATACATATACACCATATACATCTTCTTTATCCATTCATCTTTTGATGGACATTTAGGTTGTTTCCATGTTTGACTGTATTTCATCTTTTATCCTTCACTTAGCTCCATGCACTTGTCCACTAGCTTGGTGGTATTCTTCATTCAACCCCTTCCAAGGCACCTTTCTTTCTGTGCACTAGCCTTATGGGGAATCTTTCCTCTCCAGCATCTTGTTTATCCTAGCTTCTTGACTGAGACTAGAAAGTTTCAAGGTATTGAGATATGAAGATAAAAGATGATATGAGGGTGGGGATAACAGCTATGGGGGTAAGGTCCACTTTCGGAATCCCTGTCTAGGCTTACTATGGCCTTTCCTCACGTTCATTATTTCTAGCCCACTCTCCCATTCTACCTATTGTGTTCTGATAAAAAAGCCCTACTGTTTAACCCCAATAATCATCTATCCCTTGAAACTCTTTGGCTTTCATATATTTCCCCCCTACAAATTCATCTCCTTCTTTTCTTTTTTTAACCTCTTTCTTTTCTGCTTGCTGCTTAGCTTCTCTGACAGCTTTGGTAGACAACTTAACGTCTGTTTCCTCAACCATGTTTTGCTCTCCTTTGCCTGATAAGTCTTATATTCATTCTCTGTGGACATCTTATTTTGTTCTCATGCCCTCAGCTATCACTCATATATGGATGACTCCCTAATCTAACTCTTTCCCAGAACTGTCTTTGGGATTCCACTCAGAGTGTCAGATTGCAGTGTCTAGTGGGATCAGAACACAGAGCTTCCTAAACTGGTACTAAAATGTGTTTCTTTGTAGTCCCCTTTTTCCTTGTCTTGCTTTAAAAAAAAAAAAAACAACTCTTGTTGAACGGTTCATCAGTTCATTTTGATTCATTCTTGTATCATCTTGACTTCCTTTGGCCTGTGTTCAAACAAACAAACAAAGACTAACTCCAAATACCTGCCCCCGTCATATCATTTTATACCAAAATCTCTCCCTCTTCTGCTGTTTTTATCTTCATAAAACCTCCTTTTCAGGGAATTCAAAGGAAACACTTGGCAAGGAAAAGACAATCACTATTTTGTTTTATTTATCGTGACAAATTCCAAATATTTCCATTTTAAATGCAAGCCTGTTTCAGGAGCTGTGTGTTTTGTTAGGGAGAAATATGGAAGGTGGGGCAATGTGGAGCCCTTAGAAATCTGATAGGAAATCCTAAGGTCTCTAACCTGAAAAACTGGAAAAATAGTAAAGAAACAGTTCTGAAATTTGGACTAAATCACCTACTTCCTTTCCCAAGATAGCAGAAATTTCTTTGGGTATTTATCCTGAGAAAGGTGTAAGGGAATGGAAAGAACAGAATTTAAGCAAGAACTAAGAAAGGCTAAACTCTCAAGAACAAAAGTTTAAAAAATCATTCTTATACCGCTTTTATATTCCACATTGACAGACTTTTAAAAGCACATTTAAACTACAGATTTCCTTGGAAACCGACCAAAGGGATTTTAGAAAGCAGAGGCATTGCGGTACTATTTGTATGCGCACTGATGTCTGATTTTCGTTAGGCCAGCATTATTTTCCCTCCGAGGTCTTAGTGTTTATTACAGCAACAATTACCTCAAGAACAAGTCCTCTAGGGTAGTTTTGTTTAAAGGTGCCTAACTTATCATACTTCGCCCAACTACTTTCAAAATCGTTTAGTCCTTCATGCCGAAAGTTAAAACTACCATCTTTATCCCTGTTTGGTTCTGCAGCAGAAGCCTATCTCCCGCAGGACAGTGCCACGAAGGCATGCTTTTTACGTGGTGAGCACGTTGCTGTGCACCTTGGCTGCAAAGCAAGAGCTGCGTTTTAAAACCGCCAGGAGCGGGTGGGTGCAGGGTGCTCAATTATCTGTCTCACAACTTCCGCACGTAAGAAGGATGTTTTCTTCCTTCCTTTAACATTAAAAACAGATAAGACAAAAACAAAAAGAAATCCAACGAGCTTCAGAACCGTCCGATCGCCCAGGGAAAGCGCGCCAATCACACAAAGAAAAGGAGGGGGGCTACTGGGATTCAAAATCATTTCTCCGGGACGAACACCGTCCTGGACCTATCGGAGTTAACTGCGCGCTTGGTCGCAGCCAGTAAACACACTGTTTCTGGCTCAGGCCCGCCCTAAAGACTGATAGACGTTGATGTAACCCAATGGAGGAGTGAGATGCTGAAGAATCCACCAATACATTCGGGAGGTGGGTGGAGTGTAGGCCAGGGGGTTGGCGGTGCGGTGTCATGGAGGCTCAGTCTCCGAGCAGCCATTGAAGGGGAAGGAACTGAGGGTGTGTGTATGTGTGTGCGTGTGAGTGCGCGCGCGAGTGTTTGGACAAGGAGGTGGGGGCAGCCGAGTTAGAGTCCCAACTCCTTGGACTCCATTTGCGATTCTCTTCTTTCTTCCCCATACCTATCTGGTGGTGGTGGGCGTTTATATTTGCCTTTCTTTTCATTCATTTCCAAATCTTTTAAAAAATTTAGGGTTGGGGGTAGTGGGAAAGGCAGGAAAAGGTAAGGGAGGAGAGTGGTAGCAGAAGAGCAGGAGGAGGACATGGAGATGAAGAAGAGGATTAACCTGGAGTTAAGGGACAGAGCTCCGGAGGAGGTGAGATGACTCAGCCCCCTCCCCTTCCTTACCAGCCCTGTATTCGGAGGATCGGGTTTCTGGGGGTCCTGGTGGGCGTGTGGGGAGGGGTAATGAATTAGCCCCCATCTGGGGTTAGGGCTGGAGGGAAATATTCCATTTTAACTTTTAAATCATTAAAATCTTAAAATGGCGAAGGGTTTAAGTTTCTAGGGGGCGTTTTTGTGTGTGCTTGGGAGCTTAGCCCCTTCTCCCCTCGAGTCAGGCGTCGTGGCCTCGTGGGGGCGGGAAGCGGGGTGTTGGGGGTGGTTCACCGGCTTCGCTGCCCCACGGTCCTGCTCCTTAGAGCCGGCGGCGTGGGCGCGACCCCCCAGTCCCATTCTCCTCTGCCGCAGCCATCGTCGCCTCAGAAGTTAGTCCAACTTTTCTGCAGAGCTGCCAACTCTTTTTTTGGGCCAGGGGGCGTCCCCGGCCTCGAGGCCCCTGGACGTTCGACGACATCGCGCCGGGCGCTGGCTGGGGTCGCTTGCGTAGTCGGAAGGACCGCGGGCTGCCGGCGGCGCCCACTCCCCCGGGAAGCGGCGCGCGCCGACCGCCGCCAGGCGGAATCTGGGTCAGCGGCTGGTTCTCTGGCCGCGAGGAAGTTTTGGGACTCGTCGTAGTGACCGGAGGTGGGGAGGGGACACGAGACTTTATCCCCTTCGTCCTCCCGCGGTGTGACAAAATTCGGCTCGGCGTGTCGTGTCGTGGAGGCTGCAACTCCAGTTTTGATCCCGGGAGACGGTTTCACAAAACTAAACAAATGGGTCGTAGAAGTTTCGCGTCTTAAAGATAGGTTCGGCGAAACTAAATGATGCGCTCTCTGCTGTCGCCTTAGTTAAAGAGACAGGCTTGGGAGGGGCCACGTGAGGCGGGTCGCGGTCAACTTTTCGGGGGTCGGGCGGAAGGCGTTTCCGCCTCCTTTTTGGAGGGAGCCTTCTCGATTTCACTCAGTCCTCCCCGCCCGGGGCGGAGGCGCTGTGGGCTACGCGGGCTGGGAGGCGACCCCTTTTTTCGCTGGGGAGTCCCCGCCCCTTGTGGGGTTTCCCGTCGGTCGGAGCGGCAGGTCGCGAAAGCGGGGCCCATGGCCAGCGAGGAACCTCGCGTTTCTGGTCGCAGTGGAAAACGTCTAGAGTCTTGCTAATTGCAGCCTTCGAAATAAACCCTAGAGTTGCAATATAAGGGGTGTATGTTTTTTCGGGAGGGGTAGAGGTGGTGCTTGTGCGTACCAGCGTAGGGTCCTTTCGGTAAGCTTGTAGCGGCGTGAGGAGTGGGAATCCGAGATCTTTACGTACTTTTTAGAAAATATCTTTCCATGAAATTGGTGGGGGGCAGGGAGGAGGAAAGAGTCACTACTATCATCCCACAGATAACTTGAAGTTTCCTAGGGCCTACTCTTTAAGGACTTAAGGAAAAAACAAAATCAAAGTTAAAAAGCTGTCTCGCAGAAGCACACATTTCGAATGCGCTTTTCTGTCTTGGTTGGAAAAGTGGGTTTCCCCTCCTCCCCCATTTTTGTACCTGTCCTATCCCTACTAATTTTCTCGCCAGTTGTGGGGAGTCCCGGATGTCACGTTTTTGCAGCCCTGTGGTGTAATAACGGTCTCTTACATTTGAATAGCCCTTTACAGTTTACAAAGCACTCTTCGTGTTTATTTACTTTACTACTTCCGACCAACTTGTAAGGTGGATGGTGTTGTCTTAGAATCCAAATTAGCAAACGGAGTCTCAGGGCAGTGAAGTTACTTCCTCAAGTGGAAAAACTGGTTTTCTGACACCAAATCTAGTGGCCCTCTCCTCCACTCGGAGAGACTAGGAGTCCCGAGACTGCGCGCAGGCACAGCTCGGCCCCACGCTGTGACTGACCCCAGGCAGTCGTGCTAACCTTCTAGGCCTTGACTTCTGCTCTAAACAGATTATGATGCTTTCCTTTGCTTCCTGAAATACCATGTCATGTGCAGATAGAGAAGGTGGCATTCCTAGTTGCTAACATTTATATCTCAAAATACCCCAAGCATATTTTTGCATTGAGGGTGGAGGGCCAAGGTTTCCTGCCTCCCTTCTAGGTTAAGTCCATTTAGGCCCACAGCAGAAAGTTTTCTGCTCCAGCTCTGACTGGATAGAGGATCCAGCATATGCCTTTCCACGACTGGGAAGAAGTCACAGAAATTCTACCAGGGTAGCAGGGAAAAATAACATTTGGTCAAGGATGTGTTGTTCTGGGTGATACTGATATTAGAACAAAGAACATCTGAAAGCTGGGCTGTCTGAGAAGGAGCTTTCTAATGTTTCTTCATGAAAGGTAACAAGGTATTTTTGAGTTATGGTGACATCAACCAAAGTTAAGGGAGTTTTAAAGTGAAAGAGTGAATAAAACAATTGCCTTTCTTCTCCCTATTTTAGGGCTCATTTAAATCCTTTCTCAGTAACCTGGGTGTCCTGTTACTGCATGAATATATGCTCTGATGTTGAGGGTCCTTTTCACAAGTGTCAAAAGCAAGTTTCATGTGGGACGTTTTCAAAGGTTTATTTCTTATGCAATTAAATTTAATTAGTGGGACATCCCTGGTGGTCCAGTGGGTAAGACTCTGTACTCCAAGTTTAAATTTTAAAAAATTAACGTATGATATCAGACTTTGTATTTCAATTTTGGGGGAGAATGAAAAGGATCTATATAAGGGGATTGGTGGTTTTAATATTCATGTTTCCAGAGTGTCAGGACCCAGGTCTTTTTGCTAAACAAACTAAAGAATCATTCATATTCTCCCTTCTAGGTAACAGAATTGGTCCTTGATAATTGCCTCTGTGTCAATGGGGAAATTGAGGGCCTGAATGATACTTTTAAAAAACTAGAGTTTCTGAGTATGGCTAATGTGGAACTAAGTTCACTGGCTCGGCTGCCCAGCTTAAATAAACTTCGGAAGGTAAGTTGGCATGAGGCATGAGAGTATCATGATTTTGATGCCAAAGGCTATTATGCACATTTTTTCCCACATGAAGTGATGATTCTGCCTTTTAATTAGAAGCCTCTAAGTTTCTAGAGGTGAGAAAATGGGTTGTGTAGCATTTTGAAATCCACTCTAATATTGCTTTGGTTGTGGAAATTAAATTTAATAATGAAATCACTTTATGACATGAATTTAAGACCTACCAAATGTTTTTCTCTGAAGTGTAAAATCCAGCTATTATACAACTGGAACCAAACCTGGTTAGAAGTCTTTAGAGATTCTGATATTTTATTTGGCAGTCATAGATGGGAATTTGGAAATTAAAGACTTGGGAAAGTCTTTCTTGAAGCCAAAGAGAATGACAGTTGTTTTCTTCTTTAAATTGATAAATTTTAGAAATCTGTAATGTGTCCTAAGCCTTTGCCACTCTTTGTTTTCTTCTTATGTTGAATATATAGTTGGAACTTAGTGATAATATAATTTCTGGAGGCTTGGAAGTCCTGGCAGAGAAATGCCCAAATCTTACCTACCTCAATTTGAGTGGAAACAAAATCAAAGATCTCAGTACAGTAGAAGCTCTGGTAAGTGGAAAGGTTTGTCTCTGGACTTGCTTTTTCTGGTTGAATTTTCTGAGATTTGCTTGAGTTTTATCCTATTGACTTGTAATTCACTCTTTTGGAACTTTTGACTTTCTTATATGTTTTGAAATAGATGATACTGCTTTATTTTCCTTTGGAGTAAAACATTCAGATAAATGTTTAAATCAGTAGGAAATTTATTTTATCATCAACTTCAGGAGTTGAATATCTGGTTGTAAAATTTCCAGTATTTTCTTAAATTCTGTTCCTTCTTTCTTGATTATTTTTTGAGTTATTTCATTATTTGCTCCTCAGTTTCCTGGTATGAGGGAAGGAAAGGAGATGAAGTGAAACTCTGAAAATTTACCAAAAAAAAAAAAAAAAAAGCTTGGGGGGAGGTTGAAATTGTTGAAAATAAACTTGATTGTGGATTTAAACTAACCATGTTACTGTTGCCTCTATGCACAGATTCAGTCAACAAAGTATATTGAGTGCACACTACAGGTAAAGCACTTAAGCCAGGTGCTAGAGATAGCAGTGAACAAAACAGAGTTCCTGCTCTTGTGGTGTTTACATGCCAGGGACTATTAGGAGAATTAGCTGTGCTCGATATAATAACCCTTCATTATAAAATTCTAAACATCTGAAATTCTTTTGACTTCAAGTTCTGTACATTTTCTGGTTTATGCATTAAAAAGAAATAACATGAGATTTTAAATCGTGAATGTAATTTTTTACTTTTTACCTTTCTAGCAAAATCTTAAAAATTTGAAGAGTCTTGACTTGTTTAACTGTGAGATCACAAACCTGGAAGATTACAGAGAAAGTATTTTTGAACTGCTGCAGCAAATCACATACTTAGATGGATTTGACCAGGAGGATAATGAAGCACCAGACTCAGAAGAGGAGGATGATGAGGGTAATCATTCTTAATACTATAAATGTGTCACAATTATAGCCTGTACCCTAGCTGGTAAATTAGACTGGACTTGGGTATTTAAGTGTGGGGGATAAAAGATGTAAGACAAGAAAACCTTAAAACCCACAGCCCTAGTCCTGTATTTATTCAGATTTCTGATTGCTTTGGGGAATTTAATGGTTATTATAGTATTAAGCTCCATGAAATTTTATATTTATGTAAACTTCACCACTGCCCAGTAAAATGGTAACTTTTTTTTTTTTTGGTAACTTTTAAAATAGTATTAAAAACATGGAGAAGGAAATGGCAACCGACTCCAGTATTCTTGCATGGAAAAGTCCATGGACAGAGGAGTCTGGCGGGCTGCAGTCCATGGGGTACCATGACTGAGCATGTGTGCATGAGGGTGGAGGGAGATGGGTTGGTAGCAATAAAGTGGTAGAACTAAAAAAGAAAAAAAAGTATTAAAAACAAACCAAAAACCATTCATCACATAATTATCCATAAAAGTCACAAAGTAGAAACAACTCAAGTATGTATCAGTTGGTGAACAGGTAAACAAAATGTGATATATCCATACAATGGAATCTTAAACAACCATAAAAATGATTGAAGTACTAATGCATGGTACCATGTGTGTGAACCTTGAAAACATTCTGCTAAGTGAAAGAAGCCATAGTCAGAAAGCCACATATTGTATGACACTGTTTATATGAAATGTCATACAATATGTGTGGCATTTGCCTCAAATTCGTAGGCAAATTCATAGAGACAGAAAGTAGAGTAATGATTGTTAGGGATCTGGGAGAGGAGAATAGTGAGTGACTATTAATGGATTTAGGTTTTCTTTTGTAGGGGGTGATGGAAATGTTCTAGGAGTTGAACATTTTCAGATAAATGGGTGACTAATAGATCAGATGACAGAATAGCTGTTGTTAGTGATGGGACACTGTTGCTGTTGGTTGAAAAGTTATTCACTTGTAAGAAGAAATTTGAGGGATAAACAGTGTTACAAAATGATGGAATGATTGACAGGTTTTGAAGACTGTGAAGTAAAATCAACTTTAGTACATGTAATGTTTTGATGAGAATCTATACATAGGGAAAATTTTAATATTTAGATACTGTATTTCTCAAATAGTAAATAGGGATGTTATAAAAGAAATCTTAAAAAAAATCACCCTGAGATACTTTCTACCCATTGGCTTAAGAATTTGAGGGGCCAGGGTAAAAATAGTTGCCCAGATGTTTGCTCATCTTTTAAAATATTCTAAAAGATGGAGATGAAGATGATGAAGAGGAAGAGGAAGATGAAGCTGGTCCACCTGAAGGATATGAGGAAGAGGAGGAGGAAGAGGATGAGGATGAGGATGAGGATGAAGATGAAGCAGGCTCAGAACTGGGAGAGGGAGAAGAGGAGGTGGGCCTCTCATACTTGATGAAAGAAGAAATTCAGGTGAATAGACCTTCTTATGTGCAGTGAAAATTAACTCTTCCGCCTTAGGGTTAAGTAATATAAAAAGTAAGTTGTGTAGAAATTTGAGAGTTGTTTTTCACAACTCTGTGTCCACCTGCTTTTTTTCCCCACTGCCCCCCAGTTTATACTACATCCAGATAATCATAAACCCTATGATTTTCCCTCCCAGATATCTTTCAAATCCATCTTTCTCTCAGTAGCATGGTATAGTGGAAACATTTTACAAGTGTTTCTGAGCCCCAGTTTCTGCATTTATATAACTGAGATTTATACCAACTTCATAGAGTCGTTAAGGATTTAACAAACTAATATGTGTAAAGTATCTAGTTGCTGGCACGTTGTAGGCACTCATGGAAACTTGCCTTTCCCCTAATTATTTTTTGTTTATGCTTTTCTAGTAGTTTTCTAAATGGTCTTGCTGAGAACAGTGTTACTTTAGGTGTATCCTCCACAGTGCTTGCCTGTGTGGTCTGCATGCAAATGTGATTGTATCACTAGCCTGCTTGAAACCCTTTAATGTTTCCCTGTTACCACCACGATATACAAGGCCCCCCATTATCTAGCCTCTGCTTCCTTCTCTAGCTTCATCTCCCTTAGTACCGAATTAAATCATCACACAAAGCTGTTACTGCCTTTCTGTCTGTAAACACTTTGTTTACTTTATCTGAAATGACTTGCTAGCCATGCCTTCTAATGAACTTTTCTTTTTTCTCAGGTAAACATCAACATACTAAAGCATGTAAAGTGGACCGATTTTATGTACAACTCCATGAAATATTATATATGTACATACTTGTGTAACCACTACTCAAATTGTGCCTCATGATTCTTTAAATACTCAACTCTGGAGTTGCCTCATTATTGAAGCTTTCTGTAATTTTAAAGGGACAGTCACTCCTTCCTCTTTTAACTTTGAACCTATAGACATTTTGTAAAAACTCATTTGGCTACTTTATACTAGATAGCTCCTTTAGGGAACGGCTATTCATCTTTGTGTCTCAGCATCTAATACATTGATTGGGACATAGTAGGTTCACAGGAAATGTCAGTTGACTAGAACAAATGATCTGTAGTCCCTGGGAGTTTAGATAACTTATTAGTTTTCTCTTAATGTAAAATTACTGAGTTTTGTTTTCATCATTCATAATTTAATGTTTTTTATTAAAATAACCTCTTATTTAGACTAGAAATTGTATTTTTATTTGTTTTCCTAATGACTTTTACATTACTTAAATAGTATCACTGATTAATGATGATTTTTCTCTGATACCATTTTAAATATGAAACTAGTATAGAAAAAAAATGGCACTTAAATTTGTTTGGCGCCTTAGTGAGTTAGGATCTTTACAGTAATGAAGAATAGAACTTTAAGTATTCAGGGAGAAAGGCAACCTATTCAGTTCTTATCAGCATACAACTTGAATATTTTCCCCATAAGTTTTAATTTACTTAGTAAAATAATAGACTTATTATTTTGTAATTTGACTTATTTTTGCCTTTGGCTGCACTGCTCCATTTGTGCGACCTTAGTTCCCTGACTAGGGATCGAACCCATGCCCCTACTACAGTGGAAGTACAGAGTCCTAACCACTAAACCACCAGTCCTTGCAGTTGACTTTATTTTCTGTGCCAGTAATTCTTCTTTAAATGGTATTAAGTCATTTAAAAATGACCTTCAGCTAACTTTGAATGTGTTTATATTCATCCTTCTGTTGAGTATTGGGAAATATGAACTAAAAATGATGTGGTGAAGTACAGAGCAAACATTTCTAAGATAATATATACAACATTAAGTCAATATGGTACCCAGGTAGCTGAGTCCAGAAGTTTTCAATCATGATGAGGTAATTTGGGTGTTTTTTAAAATGAAGTCTTGTTTTTAGAAGCCAAGAGCCAGAGAACCTTCAGAAAGTAAGATTTAAAAAAAATTAGAAGGAAATAGAAATGATATTTGATTAGCTACTTTTTTGTTTGAGTTATTTCTATTTCAGCTGCTCTTCAAATGTGAGGAATTAATATGTATAAAGAAGGACTTAAAAAAAAAGGACTTATATGTAGTATACTTCATTAAAAATGGAGATGGGGGATTTAGGAGAATTGGGAATTAGAATTGAGAATTGGTGTTTTTGCACTATTCACAGTATTAACACAAATGAGGAAACATTTTATAAACCACTAATTAGGAAAAGACCATAATCTTTACAGAGCAAATATCTGGTAATCTAATAGATTGTGTGTGTGTGTGTATTTAGTTGTGCTGGGTTTTCACTGTAGCACACAGGATTTAGTTTCCTGAACTCCAGGCTCCCTGCCTTGTAAGCACTGAGTCGTAGCCAGAGGACCACCAGGGAAGTCTCTAGATGATATACATGTTTTTAAAGGCACAAAAAGATGATATATTTTTTAAAAATGAATTGATTAATCATGTTTTGTATAAAACAAAGTCCAGAGAAATAATTTGCTTTTTAAAGTTGAGCTTTTCTTAATTACCATGGAATATATGTGATTAGTATTTCAAGTGGTTTGGTTTTTAAAAAATTTATAAATATTTAAATACCCTCATTTGTCATTCCTTGCAGATTGAAGTGTTTAATCTTTCCCTCCTCTTCTCTCCCCTCTCTCTTCTACCCCGTTCTCTTCCTTTTTTATGTAAGTGTAAGCCCACACATTTTCCTGATTTTTACTATAGTTGCTTAGTTTATTTGCTACCTCATCAATTGCTTATGCTTTTTGTAGCTTGGATGTCCTGTTATGGAGTGTTTTAAGGTTTAAATTGACTAAGAACGGTTTCTGATATGTGTCATGCAGTTTAGTTTCTCAGGGGCTTCAAGCTAAATGAGGGAAAAATAGGTTCTGATTAATATTTCTAGACACAAATGGAGCTGTGGTTATTTTGAAAAAGGTGGGTCGTCCAAGTTTTTCTTAACTACCAAGCAGTTTTTAACATTTGCCATTTAAACTATTTTTAAGGAGCTGTAAACTGTTTTGAGGTTGGAGAGGGTCCCTAGATTGACTGCATTTTTAAAAAATATGTACTAGAACTTAACCATTTGGAACACAACCAAGCACAAGGCAGTAATGTTTAAAATGTAAAAGTATAAAAGGTCTAAATAACAAAAGACGTTTTCTTAGTAGGAGAATATTCAAGCTGTTACTCTAAACTTATTTTCTCTTTTATATTCAGTTCTCTGGTAAGCTTGTTGATCTAGTTTCTGAATCCATAGCAGATTAAAATTGAAATAGTAAGTAACTATAAAAGAGCAGGCATTAGGAAAAGATACAATTCAAAGTAGAGGCCAAGAGTCACTTTAAAAAGGAGAAAACCATCTTACATATATTAATAATCTTTGAGGGAATTGGCATATACTAATTAGAATACTGCTTATCATCAAAATGGTGACTATGATAATTCAAGGGAAAGGTTTAGCATAAAATGGTAGAAGTGTGCAATGCATTTTAGAGATTTTTTCCCAATTTGCTAAAAAAAAAAAAAAAAACCAGGTTATGATGTTTGAAGGCTGTGTTTAAATCTTAGTTATCCGAAACACCTCATCCCACAAGAGTTATAGATCAAATTCAAATTTTATTGTGATTTTTATTCATATTTGCTATTTTGCTGTGTAGAATTTTAGATGTAGAAAGAACTTAGAGATCTTTCTAGATGAATACTTCTTTCGTTGATTGAAAAACTGAGGTCCAGAGAGATTAAGTGATTTACTCCATACGTATAACTGTTGGAGCTACGATTCAGGTGATTCCTTCCTTAGTTTATGAAACAGAAGACTGTGTCTTTGAAATATTCAGTAATTACTCTGTCTATTAGCCATTGGGCACATTTGCTTATTTAGTTAAAGTAAAATAAAATTCAGTTCCTCATTTGCACTGGTCACATTTCAGATACTCAGTTGCTGTGTGTGGCTAGTGGTTACTGCATTGAACAGCACAGATACAGAACATTTCCTTGTTGCAGAAAGTTCTTTTGAGCATTGCTGTTCTCAACCATAACTTATTTTCATGAAGAAACTAGGTTTAGTTAGGCTTTTAAAAAGACCTTTGTAAGTCAGGCAGAGGTTGTCAGAACACAGGATGACCATATTTTTTTTTCCTGCTGGAATGTATTGTTATCAAAGAGTGAAAAGCCCATGTTATGGGTTGTTTATTCTCAAACTGAATTTTTGCTTTTAATTGAAGTATAGTTGATTTACAGTATTGTGTTAGTTTCTGGTTTGTAACAAAGTGATTCAGTTATATACACACACACACTTTTTCATAATCTTTTCCATTTTCGTTTATTGCAGGATATTGTGCTATACAGTAGGAACTTATTTATCTGTTTTATGTATATAGTGGTTTATATCGCCTAATCCCAAACTCCCAATTTATCCCTCCTTCATCCCCTTTGGTAACCATAAGTTTGTTTTCTGTGTCTGTGAGTCAATTTCTGTTTTGTAAATAAGTTTATTTGTGTCATATTCAAACTGAATATTTGAATCTCAAGGATGAAGAAGATGATGATGACTATGTTGAAGAAGGGGAAGAAGAAGAAGAAGAAGAAGAAGAAGAAGGTGAGTTACATTAGCCATTCAGAAATCCTAAAAAGCCTTTATTCATGGGTTTTAAAGAATGTGTCTATAATTCAAATTATCACTGATCTCTTTGATATTGGTAACACATCACACAATTCCTTGAAAGGTATAGAACCTTTTTAAAGAGGAATTTTCTCAGGACATTCATTAATTCCATTTAAAAGAAAAAAAAAAGCAGCTTATAACATTTGTTTGAAAACAGGAATGAAGAGATAATGGGACCATAAGCTCAATTTATTATTTTTTTTATAGCCTTTCATTTTGGAGAGGGTGAAACCTTATTTATGAGAGAAGAGCAGTTGAACTCCAGATAATGCCTGTTTTGGATTTGCCCTCTGGTTCTCTTTACCTATGTCTTTCAAGAAATTTAAAAATTTAGTAACAGTTCCATTAGTTTCTTGATCTGTACTTCATGATTTGGCCACAAGAGTGCATAGCAAGCTGTCATTATTTATGGATTTCTAAGTCTATTATGGTTGTTTCAATACCGAACTTAAAAGTAATGCAGAGGGGAAACCTAACCTATAATTTTCTTGTGCCATTAACTTTAACTAAGATAGATTCAAAATTTTTTAGCCTAACAAATATTCAGTTGTTAAAATTAAGTATTTTGAACAGTTTTCCTTTTATTTTTTCAGAAGAAGAAGGTCTTCGAGGGGAAAAGAGGAAACGAGATGCTGAAGATGATGGAGAGGAAGATGACTAGATCATTCTAAGACCAGATTCCCTAATGTTCCTGGGTGTGCAATAGAGTGATCACATCTTCTTTGTTTCTTCTTGTATGATAGCTATCCCTACAGAATATAATGTGTAACTTTTTATAGGAAAAGTGTGGTTTTACTATTTTTGCCTTATCATTCCAAATAAGATAACTAGTCTGTTAATGATCATATTGTATGTAGAGAAAAATTTTCATTGACCCCCCCATTGTGAAATTCCCTAGCCATTTATTTAGAATCTTAATTTTTCTAATTAAAGCTCATTGTATTAGTCATTTTTAGCATAATTAAAATATGATCGCTTTTACACAGGCATAGTATGGTGCATTTCATTCATAGGGTTTTAAAGTTATTTATAAATTCACTGAAATCACAGTTGGCTGAAATCTGGAATAAAAATAGTATCTTGAATGATAAGTTGGTTATTTTTTTAGAGGCAACCCAGAGATCTTTAGTTTGAAGGCAATGCCTTTTTTTTGGCTGAGGGTAATTGAGTGCTTTTTTGTCATATCAGTAGCTTGGAAAGTAGGAGCAGAATAGTAAAGGTTCTATTCAACAATAAGTTCATGGCATTTGTGGAGCCTTCTAAAACCTTTTAAGCTAGGTGGTTAAGAAGATTTTTGTTTTCAAGGAAAAATTGCTTATACTGAGTTGAGAGACATGCAGGTGAGCCCTTTCTTGTTCCAGTTGATGACCATGACCTGCCAACGGTGGTTATTTTAAGTGTGCACTCTCGTTTTCCTCTGTGAGTCTCTTATGATCACCCCCCTTTCTTGTTTCACTCCCTTCCCTCTTCTCAAAAAACAGTTGGGAAACAGGGACACCCAGGATGACTCTGTTTTATACCTCAACCACCTTGTCAGACCTGTCTCAGTCTTAAACAAGCTAAGTGAAAGAAACTGAGTGTTTTCTGAAATACAAATATTATTATCAATACAGTTTTATGCAACAGACTCTGCTTACTGTAAATCTTTCTTGACAAGATGTACAGACTGTATTAGGAAGATGGAGAAAGAAAAGAACGGAGGAGACTCTTGGAAGCAGCACTGTGTTCCTCAAAAGTCAGAACAATTGCCTGGTGATAATGAGACATTCAAATCAGATTAGCTTTCCAAATGATTTAGATACCATGCTGCAAAGCATGGGCTTCCCAGGTGGCGCTAGTGGTAAGGCATTCACTTGCCAGTACAGGAAACATAAGAGATGCAGGTTTGATCCCTGAGTTGGGAAGATCCCCTGGAAGAGGGCCTGGCAGCCCACTCCAGTATTCTTACCTGGAGAATCCCAGGGACAGAGGGGCCTGGGTGGCTATAGTCCATAGGACTGCAAAGAGTCAGACATGACTGAAGCGACTTAAGAATGCACACACTGCAAAGTAGTTCTAATTTTTCTGAGTAGAACCTTTATTCTTTGTATAGTTTTAAAGCATTATTACCAGTTATAGCATTTAATTGGAATACACTGGACAGCTGGGAAAATATTGAAACTAAATCAATATTAAGATTTGTTTTCAGGTAGATGTCTATTAAAAATAGAAACATTTGGGATAACCGAGTGTGTGTTTCCTTATACAGCTACTAAATATAATATTATGAGTAGGCAAGTACATCTTTGTTTTTTGTTGTGGAGGCTCCATGTCCAAGGCAATTGCTTTCTTAATTTTGGCTAGCTAAAAAATTTTTCCCTTTGTTTTGAGTATGTGTAAGTTTTTAAAACTTATCAGCAAATTAGTTGGTTACATTTTCATACTGGAACACATTTAAATTACTGAGAATAGTATTACTTCTTTCTTAGTTTAAAATGTATGACAGGGTTTTAAAGTAAATTGCAAAGTTATTTCTGGATAAACTAAAAAAGCTGCATAACAAATAAAACTGTTGAGATAAGTTTAGTTGGGGGGGTTTGAATCTCCAAAAGGCTAATATTTTACTCCTTTTTAACAATTATAATACCCTGTTTTAATCCCTAAGAATTCTTATTGCATAATATGCCAGATTATAAAATACTTTAAAAGTTGAATCTATATATTGCCTTTCTTACCAATCATCTTATTGTGCAATCGAAATGATCAAAATTAAGAGTTCTTTGGTTTGAAAACAACACTTAGAGCCTCCAAATAACTTTTAAGAGTTATTTAGCTTTGTGGGTGATATTTTCATGCAAATAAGTAAGGGTGGGTTTTATATTTTGTAGAAGTTTTTGGTCCTATTTTAATGCTCTTTGTATGGCAGTATGTATATAGTGTGTTAAATTCCTCAAGACCCTCCTTGAAAACTTTGAAGTCAATACTTTTGTGCAACTGTGTTTTGAATAAAGCCATGACAGTGTTAAAAACATAAAAAGGCAGTACTGATTATTATTTTATTGTTTCTGACCCCTGTTTTTTTCTGTGACTGCTGTAATTTAAAGTTTTTGAAAATGAATTGCTTTAAATAAATTGAAGAGTTGTTACTGATTAGTTTCACTGTATGATATTCATTTTTTAAATATCACCACTGTTCAGCATCACCAGAATCAGCTTGAAAGTTAACATGCAAACACGAATGTGATATGAAGTAATACAGTATAATAGTTTAACTCATTAACTTTTCCCAAAGGGTTGCAAACTGAGCCAGTACTTTTTGTATTTTGATTTGAAGTAATAACTTAATATCTACAGTTGAAGCAACTATTGTTTATAGTTACCCAAAGTGATTATAAACCTGTTGTACAGCAAATAGTTTTCTAAAATGAGTCTAAAGTCTCCATTAATACTGTATGTTTATCTTCAGAGTCCTTAGATAATATAAATACAAATATAAATAATTCTTGCATGTTTATCTTGAGTAAATCCAACCTGAAACAAACTTTTTCTGCTCTCATTTTGGATTTCCTGTGATAAGTGGTTTTTTAAAAGTTTCATTTGTAGGCAACTCTGGAATCTGATAAAGTCAAGGCACAAGTATAAAGTAATGGAACTCTGCTTCCTGAGAGATGGAAAATACTGAAGTACATTTCAACTGCAGGGATTATTGAAATTAATATGGTATTTTTTGGTTTTATGGCTTAAAAAAATTAAAAACATTCCTTCTAGGTTAAAGATGATGGTAGTAATACACTAGTTTTTGGTGGAGATGTTAGGTAATGAAGCCATTCTTTGAGAGAATGGGATTCAAAAGCACTTTTAAGTATTGTTTATTCCTTCCCTCATAATTCAGTTGGTTAAAGAATCTGCCTGCAGGATCCTCTATGACCCACATCCCAGAATTTTAGAAATAAAAGCAAAAATAAACAAATGGGACCTAATGAAACTTAAAAGCTTTTGCACAACAAAGGAAACTATAAGCAAGGTGAAAAGACAGCCCTCAGATTGGGAGAAAATAATAGCAAACGAAGGAACAGACAAAGGATTAATCTCAAAAATATACAAGCAACTCCTCCAGCTCAACTCCAGAAAAATAAATGACCCAATCAAAAAATGGGCCAAAGAACTGAACAGACATTTCTCCAAGGAAGACATACAGATGGCTAACAAACACATGAAAAGATGCTCAACATCACTCATTATCAGAGAAATGCAAATCAAAACCACAATGAGGTACCATTACACACCAGTCAGGATGGCTGCTATCCAAAAGTCTACAAGCAATAAATGCTGGAGAGGGTGTGGAGAAAAGGGAACCCTCTTACACTGTTGGTGGGAATGCAAATTAGTACAGCCACTATGGAAAACAGTGTGGAGATTTCTTAAAAAGCTGGAAATAGAACTGCCATATGACCCAGCAATCCCACTTCTGGGCATACACACCGAGGAAACCAGATCTGAAAGAGACACGTGCACCCCAATGTTCATCGCAGCACTGTTTATAATAGCCAGGACATGGAAGCAACCTAGATGCCCATCAGCAGATGAATGGATGAGGAAGCTGTGGTACATATACACCATGGAATATTACTCAGCCATTAAAAAGAATTCATTTGAATCAGTTCTAATGAGATGGATGAAACTGGAGCCCATTATACAGAGCGAAGTAAGCCAGAAAGATAAAGACCATTACAGTATACTAACACATATATATGGAATTTAGAAAGATGGTAACGATAACCCTATATGCAAAACAGAAAAAGAGACTCCGATGTATAGAACAGACTTGTGGACTCTGGGAGAAGGCGAGGGTGGGATGTTTCAAGAGAACAGCATCGAAACACGTATATTATCTAGGGTGAAACAGATCACCAGCCCAGGTTGGGTGCATGAGACAAGTGCTCGGGCCTGGTGCACTGGGAAGACCCAGAGGGATCGGGTGGAGAGGGAGGTGGGAGGGGGGACCGGGATGGGGAATACATGTAAATCCATGGCTAATTCATTTCAATGTATGACAAATACCACTGCAATGATGTAAAGTAATTAGCCTCCAACTAATAAAAAATAAATGAAAAAAAAAAAAAAGAATCTGCCTGCAGTGTAGAAGACTTGGGTTCTATCCCTGGGTAGGGAAGATCACCTGGAGAAGGAAATGGCAACCTACTCCAGTATCTTTGCCTGGAAAATCCCATGGACAGAGGAGCCTGGTGGGCTGCAGTCCATGGGGTTGCAAAGAGTCAGGCCCAACTGAGCAACTAACACTTAAACACAACTTCATTCCTTGTTCTATATTTTAAAGAGAGGCTTTGGAACATGTGACATTTATTCTTCCCCTGGCTGAAATTTTCCCTCTGTTCTTCCTAGTACTGAATGCAATGATATTTTGCAGCTATTGCTTAATAATAGCATTCTATTAGTGCATTCCTTTTTCATGTACTAATCAGCCTAAGATTTGAGAACCTGGCTTGGATAATTTAGTCTTAGGCAGCTACTTGTGTTACTAGTCTAATGGAGAACCCTAACATGGTTTTTACCACAAAATGGAAATTACAAAATGATTTCCAGGAGAATCTTTAAAAATACTTTATATATTGGTAAAATACTTTTGTACAAATCTAGCCACTTTTTCTGGGGGCTTCCTAG